ACTTGATGGTGAATATCATCCATCCTTTCTGATAACACTTTCACTCTGACACATTTTCAGGCAACTCTTCATAAGGTGGGCGTCCTGTTAACAGATCCACTGGCAACCCGAAGTTCCCGACCAAACATCAACTTTGCTGGAGTGTATCTAGTGGGGTCATGCTCTGCTGTTCTATAGGCCATCAACAGTTGAGGGAGTAAGACATCCCAGTCATCTTGGTGGCTATTACAAAACTTTGCCAATTCCTGTCCCAGTCTCCAGGTGTACTTTTCTACCATCCCATTGGACTGTGGGTGAAGTGGCGTTGTCCCGGTCTTTCAGATGCCAAACAGCTTGCAGCATTCTTGGAACACAGCTGATTCGTAGCTACGGCCTTGATCTGAATGCAGTTCGTATGGCATACCAAATATGAAGAAGTAATCACTAAAATTCTTTACGAAGAAACTTTACCGATATAAGTCCTTTCTTAAATAAAACTGGTTTATTCTTTCTGAATACAACTTTGAAATACACTTAATTTCCACAGTCACGCTATAACAAACACTATAACTCACAACGAACGACTCACGTGCTCGACTCAATCGTCAATCTCTGTCTGCAGTTAAATTACATTGTTGCCGTCAGTTCTTACCGGTCTTATATATACAAGAATACTGCATATCTAGTAACCTCCCGAGACTTCAGGAACGGACAGGATCATTCTAGAAGTTCATGACGTGCCACCAGGGTCACGTGACTTCCGCTGTCGTAACAATATAGTGCTTTTACTAACTTAGCTAACTCTGTTCTGCTACTTCCTTCAGTAAAATATAATTGTTGTAGATTATTCTAAATCATAGCGTTAAACACTAACATTTCCAGTCCTGCTTTATGTAACTCAGTTTGTCTTACTCTAGTGTGTATTAATGCGTTAGTGATATTCACTAAAGCTCTAGATACTTTTCTAATTTCTTGGTCATGTAGCTCAATTGTCTGGTTTAATGAATTCATTATAGTTGCCTGTTTTCCTATTAAACAAATCATTTCTTTAGATACCTGTCTCTGTTGTTCTACCTTCTTAGTTAATTATTGTAAATCATGTGTGGTTGCTGTTACAAACAAGAATTTTAAAATACTTCCACCTGCATTTACTAAACCTCGTCTCTGTCTATTTCTGTCTGATATAGATATGCTATCCTTAATGTCTTTTAATTCTAATAATAGTTCACCTATCTCGTCACGATATTGTATTATTAAAGTCTCGTAATTTTCAATTAGTCCTTCTTGTAAAATCCTAGCTAACTGAAAGATGGCCGTCCCTTGATTTCTCATGTGATATAATGTCACATTCACTGAACCTTTCTTATCAAAACTGACATGAGTATCCACATTCAATGACTTCTCAAACATAGTGTGAGATAATCTAGTCTAGATCCAAGTGCATAATATTTGTCATGAAAGTCAAAATATCGATTCAATTTTATACTTAAATCATTTCTGAATTAAGCTATTTCCTGTTATATTACCAACGCTTTTAATAAAAACAAACAAACAATGGAGATTCTAAATTAAGAAATCAACAAAATTATTTTTCAATTTTGTAGTTTATTCATTTCATTATATACTTTCAGCACATAGACTCTTAACAACAATATTAGGTTATACTTTTATTGCTAAGCAACATGATATAAAAGCCATTGTTGGAACGCTTTGTTACCAAAATGCCCTGGCTTTTCTATATATATTAAAAGTGGTTATATAAGGAACCACTTCTTTTTCACATGGTTTTTCGCTAGCTTACCTCATTAAAAAGATGCACATGTGCACACGCACGTGGATAAAATAAGTAATGATACTCAGGTGGACACCCTCAGGGTTCACTTAGTAAAGGTGCGAAATCTCAGGTTTCTAGGTTCTTTTCTCTTGGAGCATATGGTGGTCACATTTCTTTTCTATGAGGTTTTTCGCATAAAAAGATGCCTTCAGTTGCAGCATAAATATGACTTTCTTCCACAGCAGCTCACAAACGTCTCGAGTTATATGAAGATCTTCAAGAAGTTGGGTCTGGTATGGCTTGATGATTAGGGCACAGGTTGCGAGTTCGACTCTCGTCACCGAACATACTCACCATTCCAGCGGTGAGGTGTTATAACGTGACGATCAATCCAATTATTCGTTATTAAAAGAGTAACCCAAGAGTTAGTGTATGGTGGTTTTGACTGGCTGCATTCCCTCTAGTCTGTAATTTCTAAATTAGGTATAGCTAGCGCAGATAGCCTTCGAGTAGTCTTGCGCAAAATGGAATGAACAAACAGACAATAAGATGGATCTAACGGTCCACCTCGGAGGTTCTTCCGTAAGAAAAATAAAGTTTTTTGGTTTTGTTATAATTTAACAAATCACGCTGTGATCAGCTCATGAAAACGTTTCGATGAAATGATAGAACTTATTATTATTTTAGCATAATATGCTTCCTTATTCAAGTTACCACGATTGTTCATGTATTTATTTAATTTCATTGCTATACTGAAAGTAGTTTCTATTTTCATCAAAGGCGATATTAAATAATTATGAAAAGTAAAATTCCATGTGTATTTTCTTTGTTAATATTTCGTGGACCTATACTGAACATGCCAAATTCGTGAACCCGTGACAGTTCAACGGCTAGCCAAAGGGCTTTTGCTGCTAAAAATCGAGTTTCGATACTTGCTGTAAGCAAGTCACAAATAGCGAATTTTGTAGCTTTGAGCGTAATAAGAAACAAAGAAAATAGTGAATACGCATAACAATATATTATTTAGTTAATACAAACTCGGTAGAACATAGGCGACACACGACAAAAACAATTTTGTTTCCGTTCTACTCTGACGTGATTGGTATTTAGAGCAACAGAAGATAGCTAAATTAGCTTACGGTGTAACTGTTGATGTAAGACATTACATTCAACGTATTGTGTCTATTTCAGCTGTTGCAAAACCCATTCATTGTATGACGGAAACAATAATTAATTTTATGTTTTTAAGATACCAGTATAAAATAAATTATCAACAATTTTAGCTTGTGTGTGTATTTGTGAATTGAATACAGAAAAAACAACAATTTTAATAAGCAGTAGGTAGGCTTAATATTAATAGTATTAGTAATAAAAATGGAAGATCTACAGACTACTGAAGAGGTTTGTGAATGTTACTTGTTACTAATATTAGCTCATGTCTTTAGGGCTAGATTATAGATAACTAACTAGGTTTAACATTCAGTTTTTGAGACGAATAATCTTATTGTGTAGTAATAATAAGTTTGGTATTAATGTTATATTTAACTTGTACTGTGTAGTGTTGTACTGAGATAAGGCTAGTGTTAACATGTACTTTTTCAAATTGACAGTGACAGTAATATGACACTATGACTAGTATGAGTATAACATGGGATTGACAGAATGAAAGATTTACACTTGCAGAACCTAAATCCTGTAAAGTATAAATCTTTCATTTTTGGAAGCAAATCCCTAGCTTTCCTTTACTAAAGGAAAGCTAGGGATTTGCTTAAAAATTAACTGAAAATAAAAAGGTTGTAAGAGAAGAGATAAAGCTATATGTACTACCGTTTTGGATTTTACGTATTACTACTTACATTAATTACTTGACCATACACTTCCCATGTTCAGGGTAAATTTTATACCCACTAAGGGCAAAATTCAAACCTGTGAACAAAAATAATGGTATCAAAACCAAATAAAAATATTTTACTAAGATAAAAAGCTGCAATAATTTTTCAAATTGAAATATATTACTTTCACAAAATACACATACTTCAACAACTAGCTCATGTTCAACAGAGAAAGTTACACAAGACTGTTCATAGTACTTAGTAGTGTATTATTATATACACTAATGTATAGTCATGAAAACAAGTTATTAGAGACTATATGTGACATAATGTAAGTAGTCAAATAAAAACAATACATAGCCTTCACAAAAGTAGTGTACAGTTTTGACAATATGTACATATACACCAGTTTTAGAATGTTAAGTAACACATTGCACGTAGGAGAGATACATACTAATCTGATTTCCAGTTATCAGATCTAGCATATCATAACTTAAGTTAAAGTTATCTGACTAAATCAAACACTTTGATGTTAAACTTGTATATAATACAAAGAATAATAGAACACAGTATTAATATAGATTTAGAGATAAAATTTTAAATCTTTGAATAAAACTAAATATCTTTTTAAATTTATTAAAGGTATACTTAGCATAATTTTTTTATATGAACCTTAAAATTACATTTTTAAGTAACAAGCATGAGTTATAGAAACAAGAGTATCACCAAAGTTAGAAAAATACCACTGAAATGCTTTAGTGCATGCTAGGATTACTTTGGTCTATGGACCCATACCTACACCTGTTTTGTATATATGTTACTGTAAATGTCCAAGTCCATTGCATTCACCATTGATTAAATCTCTGAAAGTATTCCAATTTTCAAATTTCTAAAAATACGTGTTTTTTTAAATGTTTTAGATCATGTTAATAGTTGCTTGTTTTGATTTTGCATTCTGAAAGATCTGATTGTTCTTGCTTGAATAATTTCAGTTGTGAACAAAACAATGCAGTGATTGGTAAGGTTTTGGAAACGGTGCGAAATTGATGTTTTTTAGGGTTACATACAAGAATGATCCTTGTGACACCAATTTCTCTATTTATTTATTTTTCTCATGAGCTCTGGTAAAATGTTCTCCAAGTATATTATAGCAACTTAAGCAGATATTTCAAGAAAAGAAAAGCCTAATTTTTGCAATTTGAGTTCGTATGTTTTTGTTTTTTCTAGTACTGAATTTTAATAACATGAATAATTTTGCCATTATACTACAGAGTGACCATAAGCTTATAAAATCTAGAAGAGTTAGTGAATTTTGTAAAAAGCTTAGATTAAAATTGTGTACATCTCTTCTCCCAACCCTTTTCTGTACTTTTAGAACCTACATGCATATCTTTGCCAGTTATTGATATATCTTAATATAATTTTGGTCAGTCATTCTAAGTTATATTTGGTGAGAGGTTAGATTGAATATATATACAAACGTATATTAAGAAATACATGTCTGAATGATAACTAGTTGGTTACAAATTTCAAAAAAGCAAATTTTTAAGAGATGCGATAAGAGTTATCTGTTGTGAATTGGGCAACTGAGTTATTTGGAGACACTGATCAGATGTGGAAAATGTTTAAAGATAAATTTTTAAATATTCACTATAAACATATTCCTAATAGAAAGAAAAGGGTAGCTACAAGTACAAAACCAGGTTGGTTCACAAAGAGTTTAAGAAATAAAATTAAAGAAAAGCATCAGAAATTTAAATTGATTGGTATGACAGGAGACTTAGAAGATTATAGAAGATAAAGAAACTTTGTGAAACAGGGAATTAGGACATCAAATAGGATGTAGGAGAAAAAGTTGGTTGAAAATTTAAAAATTAACAGTAAGGAGATCTTTAAATACATAAAGTGGAAACAAAATGTTAGGATAGGGATAGGACCCTTGAGGGATAACAAAGGAAGGCTAGTATCTGATGATTATGAGAAGGCTGGGTTATTAAATTTTACTTTTTCTTTGGTTTGTACTAATGAAGATTTAAGCATTATTCCATATCTTGATCAGTTGATAAATGGAAACAAGATTTAAAAAGATGACTGTATTCATTTTGAGCTGGTTAAGAAAAAATGGGAAGTTAAAAATGATAAGGCTCCATGGCCTGGTTAAAGATTGGATACATGAGCCACTTTCTACTATTTTTTGTCAGTCCTTGAATAGTGGGCAGGTACCAGAGGATTGGAAGTTAGCTAATGTAACTCCTTTTTTCAAGGGTGGTGATAAAAATTGTCCCAGTATTATACACCCATTAGTTTTACATCAGTTGTGGGAAAAAGTTTGGAAAGTCTGTTAAATAATGCTTTGCAAAGTCATTTAACAAAGTTTAGAATTTTATTGG